AGGGCAGCAAGCCCGATCGGGGCTCCGCTCTCCCCAGCGTCCAGAGCGCCGGGAAGAGGGCGGAGAGCCCAGCCGGGGGCTCCGCTCTCCCCAGCGGCCAGAGCACCGGGGGAGGGCGGCGAGCCCACTGCGGCTCCGCTCTCCCCAGCGGCCGGAGCGCCACGCCGCGCCGCCCCCCTCCAGGTGCCGCCCCAAGCACAAGCTTGGTGGGTTGGTGCCTGGAGCCGGCCCTGTTTAGATTGTAAACTTCTTGAGGGCAGGGCCTATGCCTCCATTTTATTTAGCTCTGCATTTAGATCATATGGCAGTAAACATATCATATGTCACAAAACAAGACAAGAAAAGCAGAGTATTTCTGCATCACTGTGGTCCTCAAAATGCAGTAATCACCTCCAGATTCTGGTGTGAATCTTACTTCTGTTACAAATGGAACTTTTAATGTCAAATAGTGAAAGAGTTAGATCCGCAGAGTCAACAAGGACAAAACGCCAGTGGTGTTTAAAACAGAGAGGATGAATTAGTTAAATTAGTTAGATAAAACACTAAGAACCAAACCCAAATTATGCTTGGTTCCAAAAAAGTTTGAATACCTTTGCTTTAGTTTGTTTGTATTGAGAGTTTCACATAAATGGGGCTTGACAGTGGCTCTTATCACCATAATTATGACCCAAAAGAAAACAGGAAGCCCCTGGAATCTAAACAAAGTTCTCCTCCTCTCCCGAGATTACTAGTTCCTGTTTGTTCTCTTTCATTCTATAGATGATAGAGTGCTTTGCTAAGTCCTTTGCGCAAAAAGGATTATTATCAAACTGCTTTAATAAGTATCCTCATAATGAACAAAGCCTCTATGCCACATGCTTAAAAATCAAATAAACTGATTATTACTGCATTATTTTAACCTTCCATTAATTAAAGTGAGCACCAATTGAGAGAACACAGAGGTAAGACTGAAATATATTTTGTTTTGCATTGTTGTTGTTTTTCTCCACACGAAACAGGTCATGACAGTAAATGGGAGCCCACCACTTACTGAAGTTTTAATTACATTCAGATCAGCTAATTTAGTTTACAAGTTATCATCAACCTGTTAATGGAACATTAATTAAGAAATGTACTCAGTAAGGTTAGGTTCATATTCATAGAAAGTGATTCTTCCTGAGTTTTTCCATCTAATGAGGACCAACTTCAACATAGCTGTTTAGCATAATTACAAAGATGAACAACATCCATGCGCTACAGCAGCAATTTTTTTTTGTGATTTCCAGAGTATCCTGCAGTCTTCAGCTCTGTAGCCTCGATGGATAGATAATGGGTGGAGGTGGAGGTGTAGGGAAAATAAAGAGGCTGTCTCAGAACTCTCCTCAGATAAATTATTAATCGCATGCAATAGTACACTGGTTGCCAACTGTAGTCCGTAGACTCCTTCCTGGCAGTCTGTGGTGAACTCACTAGTCATATGGTGCTAGTTCTGTTCCAATTTCAGCTGCTGAAGTACCTTAAAGGATAGCTAGAGTAAATTTAATGTTTTCCTAATGTTACTTTTCCATATAAGCAATTGTGTTATTTGAACACGATTGGAAGAGATGATCTTCACAACTGTGAATGGGATTTCTCTGTTTAAGATGTGGTGCACACTATGAAAAAGTTTGAGAGCCTGTGGAATAGTAGAACTCAGGACTGTAATGGTTGTCAGCAGGGAGGGATTATTAAGTCTTATTATTTATTTAAGTGACAACAATGTGCTTTACCCTGTACAAGATTCAAGGGAGCTCCAGGCTTAAAGAGCTTACTGTCTAAAAGACAGATGCAGAAAAGACAGGACACAGTGGGAAACCCAGTAGTAGTAGTAACTTGGCATTTTAAAAAAGAACATTAACTCATTTCTTGTGGGCATCGCAAAAGAAGTGAGTCTTTAAGAAGTATTTGAACATAGACAGGAAAGATGAGCTGGGGAACCAGAATGGGGATTAACTATATAAAGGCTTCTGACCATCAACATATCTTGCTTTATAAGTACAAGCCACAGTGGAAATGCTGTGTGTCACAGCACTCCTAATTCTACTGAATCTGCTTATGATTTCTAGTGAAGGGAGAACTCCAGAATATTTAAAAGGTATATCAGAAATGTGTCTGAACATTTTACATGCCCCATCTCCCCCCAGACCAAACAGATCCTTCTCCAATTTCACAATCCCGTACTTCCAGGCTTGGCCTCAAGTTTCTCTTCCCTGACCCTGCTCTTCCTGAACTCTAAATCTCCTTGGCTACTGTGTGTTTGAATTAGACCTTTCACCTCATTGGAATGCAGTTTCTATGGTTTAATTCTAAATGGAACAGTATGTTAGTTTAAACAGGGAGGCTGATCAATAGTTTAATCAGTCATTTTGTTTCTAATTCTTTCTGCACTACCTGTTCCAGCTGTTAATACCTCTTTACTTTGGCTTGCTGCAGCTCCAAAGTCAAACTCAGGTCAAGCAGAGACAGATAGGCACGTGAGAAAAAAGAGACACCATGCCTGTCTGCTGAATTTCTTTGCGGTTGCTGGATCAAAGTAAGCAGAATATGTAAATCCACATACCTATCCTGACTGTTGGCCTCTGCCTCTTTTACATAAAGAGCATCAAGTTATTTTCAGTGGGAGGCTTTCAGAAGAGGAAGCTAGAATAGGGACTATATTAGGGGTGATTATAATATGTAAATATAAATTCCCTTAAGGCCTCCACATTGGAAAACTGCACCTTGTAGCTCATTCCTTATTGTTGTGCTGCTATCTGCAAATACTAATTCTGGAGTTGGTCAGTTATTTGTTTCTGAAGCAGCCCTTACATTTGCAGAAATATTCCTAGATATTCATGGGTAATTTATGTAAACAATTTCAACATAAAGGGTGTGTATATTCATTTCACTTCTTTGTACTTTGTAATTCATGGCATGTAATTGGCCACCTAAAGTAACATGGCATCGTGTTTGTGTAATGCCAGACCCTGTTCCTTGGCGGGTAGGATGGAACCTGGGGCCTCTGGAGCTTAGTGCATGAGCCTCTACCACATGAGCTAAAAGCCAACTGGCTGTTAGCTAAGGCTGTAGAGCAAACTCATTTAACTCTCTCTAAGTGGTCTCAATGCCACTAGATGGGACAGAACACCACACCCCGAAGGTGTGTGGGTTACATTTGCTCCCTGATTGGATGACTGAAACTTCCTAAAGGACAACCATATGACTGGGGTGCATAGGCACTACAATAATACAAATAATAAATACTTGATATTCCTGTGTTGACCTCATTAACACTTTTGGTCACAGCGTCATCCTGGGAGCTCATGTTCAGCTGATTATTCACTACAACACCACATCTTTTTCAGAGTAAGAAGCTTGCTGCTTCCCGAAACAGATTGACCAAGAATTAAGAGAGTATAATTGAAGTAAATTGAAGTAGATTGAAGCCCCCTTACATCCTGATTCAATTGTGCTGAACACTACTCAGGCACAAGTTGGCATCTAGGCCACTATTTTTAAAGTGATCAAAATGGACTTGGAAAAGAAATAGAAAAAAAATGGAGCCAGATATGCTTTGAAGAGCTTGGAAAACACCTGGAAATGACATTGAACTCAGTGCTTTGAATTTCCCCTCCAGATTCCCAAATTCTTCATTCACGTGTTGTATTTTGTAAAGCAAATTATTACTCAAGAGAGAGATGGCATCTGGCAAAGAAGAGTCAGTAATGAGCTATGCATGATTATTCACCTGGAGATTTTTAACACAAACAAATTTTTTTTTTTCAGAAATTTTAACAGAAATTCACCAGTTTAGTAAAGGATGAATATTTTTGTTGTTGCCTTCAGTAAACACAAGGCTACATCTTCAAGTGGTGTAAAAAGGAAAAATAAAAATTGGCTTCAATGGAGTTATGCTGATTTACACCACAGTTTGGGGTTATTTTTGTGTGTCTATTGTTTGTCTGTATAATGAGAGCAGTAAAATTTCATTGTGAAAGGAATTGGGCATTGTTTACATTTGGTCTGTGGGGATAGAGAGAGCAAATTACCAGTTTTGCCTATTAAAAAAAAATCACCATTAATTTTGTAGAAATGGCCCAAAAATTGATATTGCTGTTGGTGAACAGTAGCAATCACATACTGTCTTCACACTGTTCTTCTAGATGTCTTTCTGATTCCATTTGAACGGCTAGTAAATCAGACATAGCAACCAAAACCAGTAGTGAATGAATTACAAATGTGGATTCAACAGTTGCTTTAAGGGTAGAACTTAATATTTGCCTGCCAGAAATCCAGTGAAGGAGTCAGCATTGAATTCCTGTAGCATAATTTGAAAGACCTAAGAAGCCTCTCCCAAACACTACCTTCTTAAGCACTGGACAATATGTAATTAACTGAACCTTATAATGTAAGCACTACTTCAATGCATACTTTCACTCTTAGAGATGTCATCCTAATTCTAATTTGGTTGGAATATTTCATTCAACCTGCAAATGCATGTCTGTGGCACTTTTTCTGAATGCTGATGGTAACTGAAGATTCATAAAATATAGATATGGTGAAAAAATGCAAAAATAACCCTGTCGCCTGGCATTTCCTCACTGCTTAGGGTTTTAAAACCACTTATCAATATTCTACATATGACCAGACTGCATACACATTTTTTCTTTAACTGACTGTTTATTAATACAACTTGTCTATAACACTGAACATTCACCACGGTTGTGACACTGCACCCCACATTCTTCATAGAGATATTATGATATGATTATGGCACAACTATGATGTATTTTATGCAAGATAGGTCATGTAAGATATCATTGAAAAGGTTATGATTTCCTGAATATGGTTATCCTACTTGTATGAATGTATCACCTTTGTATTCTGAAGTTAGGAATATTGTCTATGTATCTATAATAAATTTATTTACACATGGGAAACGCCTACTAAGCAAAAGTCTCTCAACGTAGATGGCTGGCTGGGAAGGTCCCGTTCAGGTTAATGAGACATTAGGAGAAAACAATAGGCCTTAAAAGAAGCTTATCTCTGAGAGTGGGGGGCTTCCTAAGGATGCTACAAACAGCCTCTGACTGTGTGACACAACAGGGACATGTGACCAGGTCACCTGATGCTGGACTCCATCTTGGGATACCAGTGTTTTTTCCACTGGCTGGCATGGGAACCAAGCTTTGAAACAAAGGGTTCCTACCATATGGCTATATAAGGCAAGGGAGCGACATCATCGTGGTTCTTCTTCACTGATTCCCCACCCAAGAAGACTTCTGGAAATACCTGAGGAACAAAGACTGAACTGGGGGGAAGTGCTGGACCCAGGCTAAAGGGATTTTTAGCCTGTGAATGAAATACCTGGGGATTTTAAGCTGTAAATTAGTGCAGCTTGTCCCTTTAGAATCTGCAAACTGCTTATATCATCTCTTAAGGTGAGAATTGATCTGAATTTGATCTGTTCGCTATCCCTTATCACTTAAAATCTATATTTTGTAGTTAATAAACTTGTTTTTGCTTTGTCTAAAACCAATGTGCATGGGAGTCATAACTTGGGGCAAAAAGCTGTCGTATATTCCTCTCCACATTAAGGGAGGGGGCGAATTTCATGAGCTTACACTGCACAATTCTCTGTGCAATGCAAAACGGTATAATTTTGGGTTTACACCCCAGAGGGAGGTGTGTACCCGAGTAACTGGGAAGTGCCTTAGCTGAAGCCTCCCCATGCAGAGCTGATCACAGCGTCTGTATGAAACTGCAGCTGGGTGTGTCCTTAGCAGTATGAGTGCTGGTAAAAGTGAAGCTGGAGCCTGTAGAGGGCTTGGCAGCTGGTCACAGCCGTACAGTGTTAAGGGACCCCAGGATGGTGGGTCCAGGGGGCTCAGTGGTACCCCAGTTCCAAGTGGCACCCCAGGGGGAACCTGTCACAATGGTAATATTATAATAATTCACAAAGTGAAGATAAAAGACCAAACTGAAACAGAGGAATGGGTAAAAGACATGTTGTTATGAAATGTGGCATGGAATTTAACAGAGGCATGACATGAACATTGCCCCATATCATAAGGATATAATTCTGCAGTCTATGGAATTAAAAATGATTATGAGCAGGGGTAACAGGAGTTTTTGAGGCAGAGAAGGAACTCAGGTTAAATCAACACTTCCTGGAGAATACATGAATGGGGAGAAGAAGAGGCATGGGGTGAAATCCTGGCTCCATTAATGACAAATGTTGCTACTGATTTCAGTGTGGCCAGGATTTCATCCATTGTCATAGCGAGAGGGTCATAGAGTTTAAGGGCAGAAGGGATTACCAGATTGTCTAGTCTGACTTGGCAGACAGGCCAAAAACACCACCTAGCACCTGAACACTAAGCCCCACAACCAAAATTAGACCTAAATATTACAGCCCTCGGGAGACTAGACTATTATGTTCCACAGGCAAAGAACTGGTGGGACTATGGTGCACTGGTGCCAAGGCCTCAGAACAGCAGAGAAATGATTGAGAGAGATACACACAGATAATCTTGGCAAGTCACCTGGATGCACACATTGTAGAGGAAGATTTTAAAAAAGCCCAAGGTCCCTGCCAATCTGACTTGGGGGGGGGGATTCCTTCTCTATGCCACATATGGTGATCAGTTAGGCCCTTAGCATGTGAGCAAGAACCAGCAGCCAACCACCTTAGAGAGAGAATGTTCAGTGCCACTTCAGAGCCCTGGCCTTCCCAACCCAATGCCCCATCTCCAGCTGTGGCCATCCCTTATGCTTCACACAAAGGAGATCAAAAGCAAGCAAACGAAGAAACCCAAGAATTGGGGGGAGAGGGGAATCCCTTCACAACCCCTTCATGTGGCAGGCTGAAACCCTGTAGCATAAGCTTTTAGGTACATGAGACATACACAGGAAGTGATGCTGGAACATTAAAATTGAAAATCAGACCTGAATAAACACCCCTAGATTCAAACTCCCTCAACTTTTGGAAAAATTGGACTTGGATACATACTTCATGGCTTCCAATTATCTCTGCTAGAAGCATTTGTTTGGTTTTTCTCACATGGATAATTATTTATAATTATTATAATTATTTATTTTCAGTGCATTCATTCTGCTAGCTGACTGCATTGTTTCAATTACTAGAGCAAAATGCATAAAACAAGTTCTTCAGCATCCAATAAAATCTCTGCCAATTGATTAACCACAAAAACATATGAGTACAATTAATTTTCGGTGCACAATTGTAAATGAAAAAAAAAAGTGACCAGGCTAACATCTTCAATTTCAAATGTTGACTAATAAAAAAAAGGGCTATATTTTCTGCTGATGTAAATTGGTGCAGCAACACTGACATCAACCCTCGGTATTTAAGAAAAAAAAAGCAGCCAGTCTTTAGAACTCAGCTTTCTTGTTTAAAGAAGATAAACTTAAGCATGAAGTTGTGACGAGTTTTTTGGCAGTTATCACTATTGCATATGTTAGTGTTAGGATGTGCAGGGGGTTTCTATACATGATAGGAGAGCATCAAACAGGCAACAAAAATATGCTGGAAAAAGTTCCTGAGAGCCAAGCAACAACTGAGGTTTATTGTTCTAGTATCACATTCTATGATGTGTTAGTGCATGTTTTCAATCTCTTCTTCCTTCCCCTCTGATTATTCTGATAACGAAAATACTTAAACGTGGAAATAGGCTGAAGTGATTTTCAGATTGGGTTTAAAGTTCAGATATGAAACCAGATCAGAATGAATATGGGATCAAATTCAGTTGTACTGAAATCTCATGAACTTTGCTCATGAGATTTCAGTGCACACTGCTGTTTGGGTTATTTCTGTCATTTTTAATGATGAAATTCTATCACAAGTGCTGTTCTCATCATATCTTGTCTACATCAAACAGGAACTAGAAATTAGGATCTCCTGGATTTGGATCCATCTAAAACCAAAACACGCAGGGGTAGGGGTTGGATTTGGGGATTTGGAGCCAACCAGTTTTCTATTGCTCTAGTTACTACTAAGCACAACCATGATTTCATCCTTC